TGTTGATTTCCATCCGTTGATCAATCTCTAACCGCTTATATATATATATACGCTTCATACATCACCACCGATCTGAAAACGACAAATTAAGTGTAACTAACTCACCTGACCCGTTAGCTAGGCAAATAACGGAACCTCCGTCGTAAAAGCATCCTGGGAAATTATAAAAACCACGGAGTTGTGACAACGTGCTTCATACCACGTTGGATGCTTCAGTAATCTTTGTTTATTATTTAACATCTTTTTAAATAAGTTTTTTACGGCCAGTTCACTGAGTTTTATCTGGGAGACCGAGAATAGATGGTTTAAGTTTCTGATATTTTGATTACAGGTGGAAACACTGGTTCTGATTTCGCAACTGCTCAAAGCAGCTGAGAAAATAATAAGATAAGGTCTTATAATGGGCGTGAACTTATACTAAAGATACTAACGAATCATAAAATGAACGTATAATCAACAGAGAATTTAGCAGGCATTTGAAGTGGCGAGTTTTCCGTAGAAAAACTTGGGGAGTACTTTTCCACAGTAAGTGTTTTGCCTGAAGACTGTTTAGCCTTAATGAATGCAAGTTATGTTGCAGCTGAACCAGACTGGTTTAGGTTCAGGTACGCTACATGATCGTGTACGGTACTGGATTCCGATCAGTACCCTGATAAACAAAATAAAATGTTTGATTGTGAACGTCCTAACATCCAAGGACTTGGAGTATTCTGCTAAGATTGAGGAATTTTGTGATTGACGCTAATTAAGCTACAACTGAAACTTCCAAAGTAAACCTTTTCTTGATGTTATTCAGATGTTAATAAGCAAAGGCACCTTGGAGATTCACTTTTCAAGAGGCGTCCCATTGGTAACACTAAGATGGACAAGACGAATGTCGTATTCCCCAGGCAGAATCCAATGTTATAACCGTATTCTTCGGTCCTGCAGAAACTGATATGGGCAATGCGATTACATAGATGTTAAGTATATGAGAGAACGACTTCCTGATGCAGAGTTCAAGGCTGTTAAAGGTGTGACCGCGTCAAACACAACTAAAATAACTATGTGCGCAGTATGGTATTTCATCCGAAAGAAAAATTTGCCTTTTGACCTTCATTCGGGAGGGAGGACCTAGTTTTGTGGGAAAATTTCATGCCAGATGGTGGCTGAAGAAGTTCGCTTATGTGGCTTTTGATGAGGAGTGAATTTTATCCTGAATGGCCTCTCCTGACAGAGTTAATTGAAAGCGTTACTACATTGTATGCCCTCCGCATTCAAATGGGTCGCAAAGACCAGTGAAATACAGTGGAGATTTAAAGGTTTCATCATTGTGCGCAGTTAGGTGGGAGGGCTATCTTACTCCATCAATCGGTGCCTGCCATGAAAATGACGTGGATTTAAAAGTGCTTGAAGTAAAAATCAGGTCAAACGAATTTCATCGGCGACCAGTGTTTGAAAACAGATACTATTACATTGGATTCTGAGATAAAATGCGGTTAGATCAAAATAGATCTCAGATTTCTAGACTGGCAGGGAAGTTCGATATTATATGTACCATGGGCTAATTGGTGCGTCAGTCCAACAACATCGTGGTTGTATACATTTACTCTGCTCCCGCTACATAAGGGCCGTTTCTTCACTATCTCTTCGACTTCATCCCGAGTTCCCAGCGTTATCGACGTTGCTCGTTTGGTGCAAATCTTCGCACGTTATTCTTGAACAATTTTTGCTTAGGTTTACGCCAGTCTATCGCATCTTCGCTTGTATACCTAGGGAGGTTCGCGCAGTGTGCAATCTGGAGCTGCTAAACGAGTGTGGACAAACAAATATTGTCGATGCCTTTAACTTCAGTAAAGTGTATATATATATATATATATATAATAGTTTCAGTAATTCACAAAGTAATTCACAACTTCAGGTACTCGCTCCTTATGTTTGCGATGAAAAATAAGCAACAATTTCCTTTTGCCGGTGATGACGACGAAAGTTAATGTTGAAAATGTCTGCAGGAATCTTCCCAAATACAACACAAGATTCACCCCTATACCAGGTTGTAAACTATTATTCCGAAGTTTTTTAGTGTGAAGCAGAACTATCATGGCATCCAGGCAATTTGATTATCACCTCATCAAATATCAAAGCTTTACGCTCTTGGAACGATGCGGAAACGTGTCCCTGGGTGCATACAGGAAAGTTTCATTGCACCTATCAAAGTCAACCGGAGCAACGAGCACAAAACCTAGTAGGTTGTGTTACTCACAAGAATACGGTAAAATGGACAGACGAATAAACGTACACGGCTTTTCGTGACCGGAGTTGCGAATGCAGTGGGCATCCCTGAATGATTGGATGACTAGAAAACCACCGCAATTTACTTTGCGGAATCACGAGCTTTCCAACAGTACTCACCAAGACACTAAATTTCGAGTAGTTTCATTCATCCGAGGCCAATAGACTTCAGCGTCAACAAAAGAAAAAGTCGGTTCGCTTGTACATGGTAAACGCTTCCTCAGGTTTTTAGCCAACTAGCGTGCGTCCATAAATCCTAATTATTGTGGATAGGTGGGAATGTATTACAGATGAACTTTTTTTTAATATGCCGCTGTGAACACGACAACACAACTGCCTAGAAGGCTAGCAGATTAAATTAGTTCATAATGTCATCGAAGTAAATTTTGGCGTCCTGGATAACGTGGTAATGAAATTGGCCAACACACCAGATATGATATGGTTGTATGTGCGCAACTTACTGTAAATTACGAAAGGGTATGAGGCATCCAAGTTGCGCAGCCCTCTTTTTAGTTGTTCACGGGCGCTGCCAGAGAAACTAAATACATCCATAGGAGTAACGGCACTGGACAACTTAGCAGCATCAAACATGATCTCACTGAGTGCAAAAATGGAAAAATCTGTTCCGACGGTAAACGAGTTGACTCTGGCTGCCAAGAAGTAGTCAGACAATTTTCCTGCGAGCACAGAACGTTCGATCTGCACAAAAATAACAGATTTGATGTGATGCAGTAAGCTAATGTTCACAATCGAAGTATAATGGAAACAGATTTGTGGTGCATTGTCATTTGCAACGACAGACGAATGTTAAATTCTAGCAATCGTAAATGATTTCCACATGAACGGCTAAACCAGATATACACTGTGTATCTGAGTGATTCTGTCAGGATAGAGTGAAGTCTGCTCAGGTGTGATTGACATCAACGCGAATCGAGATAGTCCAGGAATGGTACAAATGAACGCGACGCCATAGTTTAGCATGTTTGTAGCGACCAGGTAATCCAAACAGACCGGCAACTGGCAAATTATCTTATTAGGTTTAGCAAGTCGTTTTCTGAAATATCGAAAAAAACACATGATACTCAGGCACGAACGCGTTTATCATTTCTGATTATGGTGGTTCAGTTAAGTGCACTGCATGCTGATGGAACATATCGAACGATGGGAGCTTAAATATCCGAATAATCAAGGTTGCGTATTATTGTTAAATTGTGAGAAGTATCAAAATCGAAGTATTAGGAATAACCTTGGAGCACAAGTGATGGGCTGTTCAAGGGAGTAGTGGGTAGATATGAATAGTTCAAATGGGGCATTTATCCATGGGCATGGATGATACTTGTGGCCGCGGAGGTAAGTAGGTCGGCTGAGAATTTTGCCTGTGTAACAGATGTATACCAGTTCCAAAATCAAGATACACCACTTTACTGGTTAAGAGCTAGTCACTTTGTGAATTCCTTCAAGTTTCGCGCTTATCATGCAGAAAACTTCACCTAAAAGTTTTTAAAGTTGTTGAAAAACAGAAAATCTGTAACCGAATCCCTGAGCATCGCGTTGATATGTTTCTAGCAAGGAATACATGAACTGTGTTTAAAACATCACTCTTCTATCATCTTCTGTTGCAAAAAATTTACTGTCGACAAGACCTGACCAACAGGTACGTCCCATTGTCCGACAGACTTGCTATAATTTCATCACTTTTGTGGATACCGAAAAATATTTCTCACCTACACCCTACACCTTTAGTGTTATCCAGACATTGTGATACCCAGTCAAAATACACTGTTACTAACGTTAGTTTCGTGGCGAATCCTTGGGATCGAAAATGAAATCTTTTGAATAAGCTCTATTACTGACAGTAAGCCTACACCTTTAGTGTTATCCAGACATTGTGATACCCAGTCAAAATACACTGTTACTAACGTTAGTTTCGTGGCGAATCCTTGGGATCGAAAATGAAATCTTTTGAATAAGCTCTATTACTGACAGTAAGCATCACAGAAACAATAGGTGCGCAGATCACCTGGGGAGGGGTGACGAGGAAGCCATTAAAGAAGCACCCATGTACAAGTATCACTCCGCAACATCCCATCAGATGGATCAGCGAAATTCCGTAGATATATTCCGAAGTAGGTGGGAAACATTGGTAGAAAGACGTTAGGGTCAGTGTGCGGTAAAAACCCATAAACGTAATATTGAGGAATAGCACAATTAAGCCAAACTTACATTGTTGTTAGTGTAAGCGGATTAGTTAAATTTCAGTTGAGGTTTTTTTTAGTACAAATGAAACGACCCACTGCCTAAAAAACTGAAAGCTCAGTACACTTGTTGGAAATCAGCACCCGTGTGCATCTGACGAAGCTCTAAGAAGTCTAAAAACCCCAATCTCCTGACAAATAATCTGAATAAAACCGTTCGACAACATGCAGCTTATCAGCACTCTGACTGAGAGGTGAGTGATGCTAAATGTCAGTTAGTCACAATGCTGATCAGACGATCGCTGTCGAGTAGTCAGGTGCTCAGAATACGAGCAGGGAGATCGGGGTTCAAAACTTCCTAGAATTTCGTCAGATGCGTAATACTGATGTTTCTCGGTCAGAATAAAAGAACTGTACAGTGCTTCTGGGTTAGTCAACGTAGACGGACTTCAACTGCAGGAAATAAGCTCAGTTGGAAATGTGCTTTCCTCACCCTGGATAAGAATCCATGAGTCCTACCTCTCTTTTCAGGTCCTAAACTTTAAGATAACTGTGGGAATGCAGAGCACGTCGGGTTGTAATGAGACGACTGACGCGCTGCTGAGACCATGTTATGGATAACACTAAAAAACGGTTACAACTTCAGTCTTTTTCAGCTTTGTTATCGAACTTCAACAGTGATCGTGGAAGACAACTTGTGAACAACTTTTATGATGAGAACTATGCGCAGGACAATAAATCCACTGTGTTTTGATAAAGAAAATTCCCACCTAACCTGAAAGTTCTGATCCGCAAATGATCAGCCGACAACAAAAGGTAGTTCATAAATCACCGTTTTCGGGATGACTGGAATTCTACTTCGGGAAAATTGGAGCTGGTCAAAGCGATTGTAGTGTATGGTCATACAGTCGTATTGCGGACGAGTTTGTTACGGTGCGCAGTATCCTCTCAGAAATGCCATGTTTTTCCTTCGAATAGTCACCTCTTCCTCAACTAATGTGGTGTAGCGTTTCAAATGTGTTTGGTGGTCAAGCGGACGGCCGCGCTTAACAGTTCCTTTGCTAACCAGTCGGTCATCATCCGGGTCGACCGAGCTGCTAACGTTTTTCTCTCATCTAATGAGATGATGATTAATTTTTGATGAACCCAATCTTAACCGCCACTGTACTCAGGTGTGTTATATATAGATGAAGTGAATCCGTAGAGTATACACGCCAATTATCACCACCTTTTAACGTTAATTATTTTTTGTAGACAACTACAATCCTGCTGATTAAAGTCGCAGAATGTGAAACATAGACTTCTTCTGTAATGAACTTCGATTGCTTCTTCCTTTCACCATGAATATTACGTTGGTATATGGACGATGTTCATCTTCGAGTTCTAACCGGGAAATCGGTTGAATCATCCTTCATGTCAGTTAGAGAATGCAGTGCGGTTCACCACTTTCAACATTCAAAATAGTATTTGAGATCACACAAACTGAGAAACAAAAAATTAAACCACTCAATGACTTTTGGACCTAGATTTCAGGCGTGCTTCATGTTGTAGTAAGTTCTATGTATCCAACCTAATCGAAAAGTAAGCCAATGGTTTCAAAACTGAATCAGATGACTATCTCGTCAAGATTAGAATTTATTATATGTTTACTTCGAGAAGGTAGACAATTTATGCAATTCGCTTCAAAGCCGCAATGAACGAAGGAAGAATCCTGTGTATTGCGTATCGGATCGTTTTACCCAAAGCTGAAGCAGCCTATCAAATCAGACGGAGAACAGAAGACAACAGACTGTCTGGACAATCTGATTCATTTTCTAAAGAATAAGAGCATACACTTCGGGAGGAAATACGCCTACCATCTCTTTTTGCTTCTAGTAACTGTGGATCGTGATTTGTACTCGTCGACCAGCAAAACGATAGGCTGACTGAAAAGTTCTGCGAGACGAGTGAATGCTTTCCAAAGGGTAATTCATGCTCATACAAGCGTAGGGCAAACAGACTGCATACATTCGACCAATTCCCTTCGCCAAATTTGTATCCTTCTTGGAACAATGTAACGAATACGTATTGTTAGAAGAAAACATGACTTTTCCTGATATGTACGCGTCGCGACTTTGTGGGGCTTTCTTATTCTCTGAGCGTAATTCAGATGGAGTTAACTCAGTCTCCTCCAAATTATTCGCGCTTCCACTATTTTCTTCTCCAAAATATAGATGTCTTTGCCAAAAAGAGCCACAATTCCCAGGAAAATCTTTGAGCTTTTTCAGCGACACGTGCACCATACAAGCAGTGTTGTGATTTTAACGTCCAGCGACGTTTTTTGGGGAAAACTATTTCATTTCTCACAGCTAAATTCAGAAGAAGGGTTTTATTTTTCGAATATTAAGCATCAAATTTATATACACTGTAGACGGTGTAGAATAACAGTCGTAGATAATTCTGCTTGAGCTGAACTAGGGTACATCACCCAACTTCGTGCTGAAGCCGTCAAGTCAGTTCGTGACAGAGCGCCTTTGTTAAAATTGCCAGGCTCCGGGAACACCCTTACCATCAATACAGTAACTGAGTTGCCAGATGGCGCCTTTACACCGTCCCGAATCATTTTTAGCGCTCCTAATTATTGAAGACATATATCTCAGTCCTCGTTTGATGCAATAAAACAGAACATTCAGTTCATACTCACTGGTCCCCGTTTAAGTCAGAAACGAATCATCATAAGCCATTTCGAAACCAACTTTTGGAAGCCCGAAAATTTTCTGTTCTCTATGAATAAAATCCAATTCAATGAGCCGAAGAATATTTGGGACTGAAACAAAGGAACAGCTTGACTGGGAGTAAATATACTCAAATATAGACATCACTAGCAGCTGAAGTTGTGTTCCTACTACTCGATTACTCGATTTACGCACAAAGTGCTTGCCGTAATTTCACTAAGGCTAAGGTTTTTGTTGTGCACCCTGAGAACGTGCACTGGAAAATTCACCTTTGATGCCAGCATCAGGCTTGACAGTGACTATAGCACAAGAAACCTCTGCGTGTTCGTTAGCACACTGCACTGACGCTTGCATGGATTGGTACGCACGCCAGGTGTTTTGGAATCCCAGCCGCGCACACAGCACACTGGTCGTGGATTTGTCAGCGATTGACCAAACGAATAACACCCTAAATTGTACTAGCTCACAAGGGTGAGGCCAGCTAGTTTCGCGATGCCATTCCCAATTCTCATTGACAAAGCCATATGAAGTGATGCCCAAAATGTCTCATTTCAAGTGTTTGGACTTGATAGTTATGTTGTGTTGCTAACTTGATCTTAAGTATGCATACGTATGCGTGGCACTTGCTAATATCAGCTGCACGGCAGCTTCGAAATAAGTTATGTGCGCATCGCCATTAGCTCTAGGCCATTTAGATAGACTTCACAAAGGTCATGGACTTTGTCAAGCGAAGATTTTTCTAGAGAGTTCTTTCGAAATACGGCTCTGCGCCAAAATTCACCGACCTTATTTGAAGGCTGTCTGCAAAGAGGAAACACTTTGTATTCTCTAAGGCCACTGAAACCCTCCTAGCGTACGACCATAACCTTCGACATTTGAGCAGTTTTTATACGCACTGTATAATGGTGATATTTTGTGTTCACTGAACTGAACGAGTGTCGGATTATCGATTATATCCTGTAGTTGGTCTACATGCTGTCACTCTTGCAAAAACCCTGTTAAAAAACGGTTGTCAGACGGATATTGATTTGTTTATTTAAAGCTCAGAAAAATAATTAAAATCTGTTCACACGTTTGTCTTGATAGTGCGGTTTTGCGCTTGAAAGGAATGATCACCGAAATTCCCAGGAGTGTCGGCGAAGTGGTCAAAATCCCTCTTGTACCATTTTAGTTTTCTGAATGTTTTAAGAGCAAGAATACAAATGCAGCCGAAACAACCTTATTGCTGAGAAGAGGTTACTTCTGTGGACAAATAAGATTTAAATGAACAAAATAAGTTAGACAGTTCTCTGCAAAGCCGTCTCAGTGAATACCGATTAGTTTGGAGAAGATATTTTGTCCCAATTTCGGTAAGTTCCAAGAAATAGTAAGAAATCATTTCCTGTCAGTAGATCCACATGCACCAATTTTATAACGGTACAGCTTTCCTGAGTGCAAAAACACAGCAGTTCTGATAGATTTATTATCATAAAGCAAACGATGATCTGGCTATACATACTGAATGAATATAAAATCCCCTTACCGATTGCAGGACGATGTTTTCGTATGTTTTGTACCCTTCTGATTCTTTGTTCTGTAGGTCAGTCCAGCTGGGTGCAGCTATCCTGGTTATCACCTTCCCCGAAACATATAAGGCTGAAATGGATACGGGAATCGGTATTGCTGATACCATAAGTAATTGGTGCTAATAATAAATTAGTTTGGGTTAAGTTCCCCTGTGACTTCGAGTAGTTTAGGGATGCCTCTGACGTGCCACTGTTTCTGGAGACCTGTGTCATCAATCTGACGAGGAAAGCAATACACCAGATATGAAACGCCGAACGCTAAAGAAGAGAATTTTATTTTTACGCTGCAGAATTATGGAGTGGAAATAAAACCGAATTTCTGCAAACTCCTCTTTTACCCAAAGGTCACTACACCAGAGAACAACAACCATACACTCCCAACTGCCAGTGGAGCGATTGTTGATTCTATCGGGTGAAAGTTCCTCGCACGTGATGGATCACTGTAGCCGAAAGCACACTCCCAAGCTTTCAAGTTACTACCTAGCCTATTGCTTCTCCTGGCCACAAGTCCCTAATTACCTCCGCATCTTCTGCAGAGCGTAGGTTCTGCAGGCTGAAATGTACTTCCGTATCTTTATCATAATCACTTCTACCTTGATGACTTGTGCTGGTAAGGTGAAGCGTCTCTGGTGACACGTAACTAGTTGAGAGGCCTTGATTGCAAGCTCACATATGTCTTAACTCCGAACATAAACATCCAAACTACAAGGTGATTAGAAACACCGTAGCGTTCCAACCAATCATTTGAAGACACCAATTAGTGAATTTCCAAATGTCTAGTTGTTACATTAAGTCGTGCATCGGTTTGCAAAACCTTAATGCTACTAGTCAGTGTGTTTGTGCATAGAAAACACGTAGATGGGAAAAAGTAGGCACTTATACACGAGTAGATGCGAGCTGTTCAAATATCATAACTGTTGAAAAGGCTAACTGGAAGTACAACAGACTTTCTAAGATAACAGTATGATTATTAGGGGAAATGACCAATCGGAGAGGTCAGTCGGTTGACAAAAAATAAACAGTTGAAAAACCAGCTTAATTTCGAAGGCTAAACAAGGGTCGCTGCTGACTGGATGCAGCGGCCTCATCAAACCTCAGGGCGTCAGCTATCCCATCAGGTCATCTTGATGGCCCTTAGCTAGACTAGAATGACAACTGAGACGCTACAGTGAGCATAAACCCAAACGGGCTAGTGAGTGTGACGCATTGAGACTGCTACAGATCACCGTTGACGACCGAAGTCGCTTCTAGTGATTTCGAGTTCATGTACGTTCGGAACGTCCCGTGCGGTGTGTCATCAAGAGTGAATCATGGACCCGAGGTGCACGTGAAAAAGATGAATAGGAGACTGGATAGTCCATTGCTTAACGGCCAGGTTTTCATTTTTCTAGAAGTTGAAAAGGGAGATCACGAGGATGCCATCAAGCAAAAAATGTAAGCGCAACAGCCCAATACCCAATACAGAAATATCGAGACATAAATCGGTTACCTCCGAATTCCTAAGGATCGCTTTAAACGGATATTAGGCCACAGCCTATAACACCAGGAGAATGAACTGAAACATAAGTATGACAACTTCAAAAACTGGGTGTTCTCAACTCCAGAATACGTCTGAGCATCCTTCGACAGACTTAGTAGAACAACGGTCATAAACTCAATCTGGAAAAGCAAATTGATGGTCGTGAAGAAGCAAGCCAAGGTGGAACTCCAAACTGACTAAGTGTTGTATGAACAAATAGGCAAGTTAAAAATTGTCTGCACATTGGTTGAGGCCAAACACAAGGTGATATTTCACTCTAACGAACCGATCGCATGTCGATGACAGAAGATGATGTAATTTAACCATGAATACATTCCAATTAAAGGTTTACCTCTCATGATGAAGGTCGGGTAAATAACAGACAGTAACCCGGACAACCTATTCTTTGTACAGCGTCTACTTGATGTTAGACGAATGTAGTATTGAAGGGGATGGCACCATACGGACAGTAGATAGACATCAGGAGGAAAGGCAGAGAATGCTCACCCTGCCGCATTCTCTTTCTTTGCCAGTGGTTCAAAAGTTAATGAACCAGATAAACCAAACCTCGACCAACCAAATAAAGCAAACCAAGTAAGTTTAAATTTGACAGTTTAAGGTCGAATACACCATTTGCATTAAACTGAGACCCCAGATAATCTGGGTGAATTGTTGTGAACCTCAGGTCGCCTTAGACATACTGATGCCAGTCAACTGTCCAGTCAACTGACTTTTCGACCATATTGTACGCAAATTGAGGCCTGTTCACTATTAGTCTTACAGAACGCGCCCAAATGGACCATCGTTTTCGAAAGGAATGCTACTGTATCTGAAAATGAATACCACATCTATCAACAACTTGGAATATTTACGATTTACTTCATGTAGGGTTTTATTTCTGGTTAGGATGATATACTAGACTTGAAAACTCAACTTACTAACAAACTGACGTATGTCATCCGTTATCCGACATATTTCTTTGGAGACTAATGTGGAAAAGAAAACACATGGTGAATAAGTTTATCAATGTACTCCATTCTTTTCTGTTTCTATTTGAAACAAGCTTGGTAAAGTGGAGCGCCTCTTGATAAATGAAATCAGGGGCACCACTAGGAACGGTCATACAATGTCGAGTTTGCCAACAGCTGCCTGCACATACTGAGGACAAATACATTTGAATGTGGCATGGAACTATGATCACCAGCCTGCTTACACTATATTATCATGGATGTAGCAGTTAGTTTTCCAGGTAGCCTTCCCCCATTTCTAACAAGCGCCCACAAACCATACACTTGTTCCGATTTGCGATCAGCAGTTAGTCAACTCTAATCTCACACAACAAGATACCAAGCCAGAATCCATCCGGATGTTAGTTTACCGCCTGGCATTACGTTCCGATATCAATAGTTGTGGGTATTCACTAGAAGGCAATGTTGAAGCTGGCTACTAGTGAAAGGAGGAAAGTTCATTACTGTGAAGCCACCTCTAGTAAACACGAACTAAGCAGTTGGAAATCATTTGACAGGAAAATAAACATCTCATTTGCACGTAGTCTTTAAAAAGTAAACATTCTCACCCGGCCTTTTGAACTTTCCTAGATATTCGTTGACCAGTACACAACATTAAAGGGACAATACAAAGCCGTTTCACAATTTCCGCAATAGACTTCACCTTCAATCAGATGCGGGGTGGAGCTTGGCCACCAACCATAGACTAGTCGTATGATCCACCAGTGGTAACCATCGTTATACTAGTACCCAGCAGGCCTCGGTGTGCTTGTTAACCTTGGGCTTACACTGGCGTAGCACGTAACACCAAATGCAGCTCCGATCAATCTATCAGCCGTGTGAGCTGGCCTTCATGGGATCAACCACTGTGGATCGACAGATCCGATTCTGGTGTCAACTGGACATATTCTATTCTGCCTTTTTCACCCAAAGCCAGAAACTTATCAGTCAGTGTGTGAGATGAAGTCTGGGCACGATGCGCTTTAGCACTGTAATAGGCAATAAGGCCATCCACAGTAGGGTGATGCAGTTGTTCGGCGGTGAAGCACTATTGTCCACCACTGATTCGGCCATCGTTAATGACAGTGTTAATGGAAGTAGTAATGCTAATAATGGTAATAATAATGGTTCAGTTTGCTGGTTTAACTAGTTACGATTAAACTAAGCCAATCAAAGCCTGCTTGACCTTTATCGGTTATTTTCAAGTAGTGAAAGTGCATCTGGAACTGTCAGACTCCACACTCAGACAAAAGGTCAAGAGAAGCATAAATCAGTAATACGGTAAGCGTGTTCATCCTCTGACGAACATTGTTGTTGAGCTTTCACATTATGTCGAATATTAAGCCTTATATCAAAACAGCAGGGTGTACGTATTGTTTGTCACACGGTGTGAAGCAACAAACCCCGGCAACTGAGATGGGCAGGAAGCTCTCTTTCGTGAAAAGGTTATTCTACTGAACCGGGATCACAAGTAGAGTTACAAAGGCGACTTCTTGATGATATCAAGTCTAATGTTTTAGGCCACCAAGTGTTTTAAGTGAACGAGTTGCAAAACACTTTTTCAAAATCATTTGGTTAGTTTCCCATTTCCTTAAATCTTCGAGAAAAATGCGAGCTCTTGAAAATTACTCGGATAGCACCTACCCCCTACTGATGCAACTTGGTATACTGTATACTACATACAATAAATACCAAGACTTTGCATCCGAACAATATGATTATCCAAACCAATACACATTTGCGAATGGTACTTGGTTGGAAAACTGAATCGGTTAAACACTGGTACTCCTGTTGCCTTCCGGTGGTTTTGACACGATTATTCCAACTCTCGCCTATTTGTTCGGTAGCTTTGAGGATTGCGTCACTTCAGAATAAACCCGTCTCTTGCCATAATCATTTTGTAGCCGATATCACACAACCAATTTAGTTCAATCTCTAACAGAGGCTGTTCATTTCTCGCACATACAAGTTTATGTAAACTCAAGCAATCTACTATCTTCACTACAGCCAACAAACCCGGATTCTTTCTGCGCTGCGCTATTTTGATAGCAGATGTGTCGACGGAGGTGTTCTTTTGACAAAGCCGCATGGTGATGGCAAGATAATCAAGCCTCGTACTTAAGAGCGGAGAGGCCCGTTGACTTCACATGTGCGTGTGCCGAAGCTAGCTTTCGGTAACGCCTACGCTGCGGAAGGACTACCACGTGAATCAAGCGAGGTTAGCAATTGTTTGGTTTTGTTGCGTCGCCTCCCTGACAGGGTCTGAGATTGAAATTGCATTGAAATCAGCTGGTCCACTAGGGCGGGGTGTTGATTACTTCGGAACACCAATGAGTGTCAGCGAATATCAGTATGTGGAAACAGTCCTGATGGCTAATTCAAAGAGTTTTACGCTCTGACGATTTGCTTGTCACTGCAGTTGCACTTGGCTTGGGCAGTGTATGTATTTCATGTACATGTTGGCTTTTCCGGCTATCTTTGTGACTCGCGAACTGTTATTCTGAGAGTATACTCAGTTGCGAACAGTAGGCTGAACTAAAATTACTCCAGGATACTGGTCATGAGGCTTCGTTCATGTCGCTTGGTGTGTTCATATTTTAAACTTAATAAGACGAAGTGTATTGTACAGGGGTTATGATTGGTGGGAAACTTGGCCATCGGTGAAAATACGCAAAGAAGTGCTACCAAGCTGGAAAAGAAATTTTGTTGAACTCACTGGATACAGTGACCTTGGAACAGCTGGTTGGTAAAAGGGAACTCGCAATTTCTTGGATCTTTCTGCTATCTTTCAGCACACCTGTATCATCAACATCTTGCTCTTTCGCGTAAATCCTGATTCCATTCCAGACGTTAAAGCAATAACACTCGGTGTATAATTTTGTGGAAACCACGGATTTGATATTTCGATAGAGTGGTCCCAATGCAAGAGCCTTTAATGGAAGTCAGAAAATCAGGGTACTCGTGACAGTATTTTGCATGTGAACTACGGATAGTATGACTATCTACTGTGAGCACTCCCCAACGGTAACTGCTTCCGTTGGGTTTCCTCACACGTTAGCATTCATAACTTCTGGTAACAACAGCAGGGGAAAATTGGTTCTGGGTTAGACAGTTATATGTTCAAGAAGATCAACTTCTGAAAAACTCTGGTTTCAGTGACAACCGAGTCGTTTTTGCTCTGGACCAACCAGAATGTTTGTTCTAAGGCACAAAGCAAAATGATGAAACGAGTGTGATGTCGACAAAAGCTGTACAAACTAATTGACCTCCCGTGACATCTTTACGCAGAAACTGAAGGAAAAATAAGTGTCCATTACTTTCGCTTTATTTTACTTCATTCACCCTAATTCTTAATTCATTCATTTTAATTCATCTAGTTCTCTAGAACAATCGTTTTTAACTAACGTGTTGGTGCTTATCACAGTGGGATATTTCAGTAACCTTTGAACGCAGGTAAAAATACTTTCTCAGAAGCGGGTGTGTGACAGTCATTGAGGGAACATCAGAAGTGCGCGCGACAATTTACGGAATAGACTAATTTGCACATCACTTCGGTCCTGCGAGAGACTCATTTTAATTACAGCTGAATTTCTTGCTCACAAGATTCCCCAACTGAATATATTGGACAAAAGCAACAGTAAGAGAGAAAACCAGTCGAGGGCGCTCAAAGAATTTCCAGCACCTTATGAATAGCACACTTCGCCAAAAAAAGACGCGACACCGTTCTACGGAGCTAGTGGAAGTTTATCCCACAGGTGTAAATTTCCGCCCTTCAGCACCTTCGCCGCATCACTCTAGGATTAATTTTCCTTCTCTCCCTCAGAGGAAATTGTCTCACGGTGAGAATATCAAAAGCTTCTAGATAAGCCTCTCACCCCCACTCAGACAACTGTAAAACGTTTAGTGATTCGTCGCCTTCCGATCCATTTGTTCGACTTGCTCAAGCGGAAAGCCATCAAAGAACAGTTTTTATGGAGATTTATCAAGCTCTTGCTTTGGTGTACGCATAATAATGAGAATAATATGTGTGGACCTAGTTTGTAGTTTTCCATGTTGGATGCCAAACGAGTCAAAGCCCGCCACGATTTTTATCGCTAAATCTACGCTCGACAGCAGATTCGTTACATTGCTGCAAACGAAATCTAGTCAACTAATTCAACAAACTGTTATTATCGTGGACATTGTGCAACTAACTGACTGCCCTAGCACTGCTGCATGAACCTACTGCACCCAAAAATTTAAAAAACAGCGCCTCCTGATGATCAATATTCACAACAATAACGGCAAACCTGAACGAAACCATGATTTTCTTTTCATTGATCCTATAATGTCGAATCAGTTCGTCTGTTAATCCTTCGGCGTGTCCAAGTGAAACTAAAGATTTCATGTCCGTCTCCAGCAGGTCTTTTTACTCTGAGTAAAATGAACGGAATCCGTTCGAAGGATATTTCGTATACACGCGGATCATATCCAGTGTTTACTGGATTGGACCAACCGTGTTTAGAATTGCAGGTCCAAAAGATACTGTAGCCGATGATTGACCGTAAAGTTTTAATTTTTTGGACGAATCAAGCCATTTATTGGTAATAAAAAGGGGATTATAAACAACGTCTCATCACGCAAAATACTATGATGTGTTTTTCAGTGATAGGCGAAAGTTCAAACAAGACAGTATGAATGGCCCATCAGGATATTACCGAGAACACCAGAAATCGAAAAGAGTTCATAGTAGAAAATGGTAGCATGTTGGTTTCTGTAGCTATTGTCACAAATCAATAGTCACTTGGAAACACTGGGTTGGAAATAGACGTCAAATTTCTATGTAACCAAACTGTGTGGTTATGTCCTTCTAGGTATTATTAGTAAGTGCTACTAAGATATGATTGCTTGTCTGAAGTTCTTGTGTGAATACTCATACTACACACACCCGTGGTTAGTGCAACAAAATGTATCCATTGACCTGTTTGATTCCTTATACAGGACTGCAACCCCATACAGTACGTTTTGGAACCATGGTGACAGAAGTGCATGAAAGCACTTGAAATTTCTCAGCGCTCCAGAAATTAAAACCAGGCGTCAAATATCAACAATGAAAGCGAATTTAAAGAGAATGTGACAAATATGGCAAACGGTACGCAATACCAACGCATTCATATGTTCATATGTTGTTAATTAGCCAGCAGATTTAGTTACTCATTCTGGTTACAAAAGTCTATGAAATTCCCATTGCGTATTGGTTAGCATTTTCATGCATTTTTTGGAAATTACGCCGGAAATTCGAATGCATTTGGTAACTATTAAAGCTCTTTCAATCTGAGGGACCGAGACTGAGATGGCGAAGCTGTAAAGAAATAACCGAGGTGTCTGTTGATGTTGTGTATAAGCTACACACCTTGCGCCCCATAGTGACTACCCACCCGAGAAATGAAATTTTGAGACCTTCCTGGATTGTTTTCTGTGATTTTAGGACTAAACTTAAGATTTATACTAGTCTGGTGATAAAAAGCAGGCAAATTGTTTCGATTAGTAACCATCATTTTTATTTATTTGCCCCCGTTGGTCTGCTCTTGTGTGTCTCCATCTACTACCTCGTATAAGAACAAAATAAAACAGTAATGTAGCGGTTTAATGGCGAAAATTTATACCATTGAAAAAGTGAGTGATGTCAGCTATCGTTTAGCGTGCCGTTGAAGTCTGGCATGAAATGGAGGTAGCGCCGAGATTCTCCGATGCTAGAGTTACTAGAGGACACCACAGCCTGGAATCCCCTCCGAGTGTGAAAAACTAATCATGTATAGTAATGTTACTGCCTTGCTACCTTGAGTAACTTCCAAATATACATGCATCCTTTGATATAATCAACTACGATAAACTCGGATGACAGTAAAACACAGTAAAGCTCTTGTCGAACTATTGTTGTAGGCATATTGAACTAGGACAACAGCATAAAGCAATTTTACCAGCCCTACAAATACCGGAAGACAAAAACCCGTTAACTTGTAAATTTTTCAAAAAAGCCTTACCAGTCGAGTGGTGGGAAACTTATCTTTATTCAAGTATAGGTCCTCGAGTGGATCAGGACACCTGTGCACCACCAAGCGAACATCGATGACTGGAGGAATGAAAGATGTCAGGAATTTTAGTCAAAACGTGAACATTGGTGTACAATGTTTTAAACCAGTGTCAACATATGGTCAACATTGTCTGTTCTCAACGTGACAGTGTTAATAGTTCTTTGCTGGTACTCTACCTACGAAAACAGTGAAATGCAAACGCAAGAATCGTTTGAATTATTTACTCCTTGTGACCAAAACTATAATATGGGAGACCTAGGTAAGTATGAACGCGACCGAGCCCTATTTGAAGAAATGTATATAATTTCATGTTGGTCCAGAATATCCATCGGTGGCACTGCTCAAGCTGAGGAACAAACTACGTTGAGTTATGGCTCACCATTACCTATGGTGTTACCAAAAATACTTGCAGCTTCTGCCTGACATCTAGTTGGTTTCGACCAGAAGGCGACTTCAGAAACCAAACCTCACTAGCCCAAAAGGAAAAGCTCTGCTTCTAATATGCTTCCAAAATCGTTCTCACTAGTGACAAGTGAAGAATGCTTAGACAACATTGATACCAGAATCCCGAGGAGACAGTGAACAGACCACATCAGTTTGCTGTCATCTGGATAGTCTTGGATAAGTGGATAGGCGGTCATAACATAATTTAAAAGGTGTATACACTAATAACAGTTTTTAACATGGTTGATAATAGTATACAGTGACGAGTTGCACTGTTTATAACATAAATGACTTACTCCACCTGTCTCATCGCATTTATTTTATACATAGTGCAACTCGCCATTGTAAACTACTGTCATATTCAGGAAAAACTGGTAATAATGCACACGACTTTTGGATTATTTTATGAGTGTCATTACCTGGGCACTGATATTTGGTGGGTCTAACGTGACAAACAACCGACGTAAACGGCATGGTAGTTGGCAGTTTCTTTTACGTTTATCTGTACTTAATCCATGCTGTGGTTACGCGCACAGGTTTCTCCATGTGATTTTTTTCCCGATACGAGAAAACACTCCAATTTTCATTGCATCAACAGGCAACACAAATGCCGCATCTGTCCACCTTCCATAGTTTTGGCACCACTTCATGCATCCGTTCACCAACCGATCGTTCCATCAGCAATGCGCTGCCAATTTTTTTCATGGTCTGCATAACGTTTTAAATCTCGGCGTACACTCAGCTCTCAGACTTATTATTCAGTGTTCCATATGGCCGAATATAAACAAAAACGTACTTTCATGGGCAAAATCTTGCCTGGCATGTCACCGTTTAAAGATAATTCGCCATACTCACTCACGCATCGGTACATTTACAGCTCCGGACAGCCGATTCGACCATGTTCAACACTATGCTATTGGATTTTTCTCACATCTTTTTTTTCTGTTTTGATAGAGGGCGAGTACTTGTAGCGGTCATTTCCTTATTCCATGCTCACTAGATCGCGTCACTAGTTTGTTCCGCGAACACACAAACCACGTGACAAAACTCTTTCCAACTCGCAACCTAGACCAACAATAAATTAGTTCCCGTATTGTCAAAACGATTCTATGTATTATTCATACGTAAACCTTTCAATATACATGAAGACAACACAATCAACACACGTACGCGCGCGCAGCGGGCAGAAAGTTAACCAAACTCCACAAGACTACGGGTAATCGCGGAACACATGTAGCAGCTGTAGTGTGGAGATAACGCCGCCCCAGTCCGCACTTACCCAGAAACTCTCACGAGTTTACCACAAATGATGAGTTACCTTTTAACTTGCTCCACTTTTCGCATTGCATTTACTTTATACATGGTGCAAATCGCCACTGTAAACTAGAGTCAACCATAGTAAAAACTGTTTT